TGGTAATCATGGACCTTGAAAATGGAGATCAAGTTTTTAGAAGGGAATATTTTCAACTCCAAGATTCTAGGGAGGGAGGGGGGGGGGTAATTACCCCCCATAAACCCCCTAATAACGCCTATGGTTTCGAGATTTATTCAGAAATACTTTATAAAATATTTATTCTGCATCTGAATCCAACGAAACTTGACAGTTGAGTGATAATTTCTAGATCGTCTTTGAACTTTAAAATAATTTGCGGCATTCCTTCGTTTATAAATCTAATTTTGCAAGAGAACTCCTCCGACAATAATTCTAAAATGTCTTCTGCTTTTCTGAAAAAATTTGTTTTCATTGAATTTAAAAAAACCACGAATTTATAAATTCTGAACACTTTTTTTTCACGAACTTTTTTGTTTTTGTTTTACAATGAGAAAATGTTCACAATTGAAATAGAAATCCTAGTAAATGTATAAACACCTTGGTTCTCTTTAGAAAAATAGTTTATCTTCTATTTTAAAATGTGTTGAATGAAAGTTCTAAAATCTAAAAATTGACCAAAAAAGTAAAAATCATGAATGTTTCTGAAAATTTTATTTTTATTGTCTTTTGATTACAATGAAAAAGTTGAAATTTTTCCGATTTAATTTGTTTTGTAAAATCTTCTGTTCCACATTTTCAAATTAACACAAAGTCTCCTCTCCATGTAATCCTAGAAAATAATATGTTCTGGGGCCGAATTTAAGGATTTTTCAGGGTCGCTGAACTCCCCACCACCAATTCAAATTTGAATCACTAATTCAAATCCTTTCTAAATCTTTTGAATTGGTGTTTCAAAATTGGACAGACATTCTTGGTAGATCATTAAATTCGGTCACTGTACATGCACAGAGTGTCCCAAAAAAATGAAATTTGAGAAAAAGTTCAAGATCGTCTTCAATGTTATAGACTTTTCGCGGCATTTATGTGTCAGCCTACTTTAGCATGTATAATTAATTATTGAAACAATAATTACAACATTTCAGTTTCACTATTTGGGTAATTCCGAAATATGTTTTGCCATCTTAGTGTTTTAGTTTATATTTTAATTTAATGAAAAATTAATATTTAATATAATTAATAATTAAAAATTAATTTAATTTTAATAATTTTAATAAAAGAAATATTTGGACGAAATTCTGAATACCATCAGTTCGGCGGTTATTTTAAAAAGCACAATAAATGCAGACCACATTTTGGAAATACCAGGTTATTTTGTGTTTGTTACACGAATATTTTACTTTTAAAATAAGGCTGAAAAATTAATTTCAAAGATCAAAGACGATATTTCAGATGTTTCGTGTTACCCCCTCTTTGTAATTATTTACATCTCCGACATTTGATTTTTTTTCTTCAAAATATTTTTTCTATTTTAATATCCACTTAAAGGGGGTTTATTTAGTTAATTGGAAGAAAAGATTTTTTAATTAATTAATTAATTAATAAGGGGGGTTATTGGGGTTACTTACCCCCCCCCCTAGAATCTTGGGGACACAAATATCCCCGTTTAGTAACTTGATCTCCATTCTCCATGTCCATGATTACCATTAATAATTAGGAAAAATGTTGAAAAAAATTTTGCGCTTCGCGCAGATAATGTTACTCAATCAACTTTATCAAAGTAACATACATAAATTTTACCCAAAAATCGAGTTCTTTAATGCAGAGTAGCGTACTTGGACTATATGTCAAATTAAGTATAAAGCTCTCCCGGCGGGGGGGGGGGGAGTAAAATGTTAAAAGATCAAGATTATTAAGAATTAGATTTTAAAAAGTAAGACATTTCTCTATAAAAATATAGTGAAATGAGCATATTTACTTAGTACATTGACGACAAGAAAATTTTAGAAATTAGAAATTAGAATATAAACAATTGCTTTTGACACTTGTGATTTGTCATTATGTGTTTAGAGGGATATCCAATCTGTGGTTTGAAAATTAAGACAATATTTTTTCAAAGTTTTGCAGAGTAGCTTTTCTAAAGATTTAAAAAAGTTATATCTTTTTCTTCTTAGAGTAAAACTATTTTTTATGTTACTTGAAATAAATTCAGTTTTTTACAGATCTTTGTAGTTAGTGTAAAATGAATGACTATAATGAAGGATATAAAACAAGGTGAAAGCTTAAAGGTAGGAAATGAAGCCTTTATTTGATGGAGTTTGTAAATGCCAGAAATGAGTGGAAAATTCAAATTAAACCCAACTAAAACCAATAATTTGATTTACATCATGATATTTTTCTAGGGGGGTAAAAAAATTCTAAGGGGGGTTAAAAAAATTCGCCACATTAAAAAAATTTACCCCCCCTCCCTACAAAACCCTTATTTACGCCCCTGTCGGTAAATCATGTTCTTTTACCTTCCCTATATTTTGATGTACCAATTCGGGGCATAGGGGTCCCCTGCCACCCATTCCACCCTACTCGCCGGCTCAGGGGGCACTTCTACCACTCCAATCTAAACAAAAAAGAAAATTCCAATTTAAGCAGAATTACTGGTAGAACTTTGGGACCTCGTATATCCTTTATCTATAGTTTTGATTCAACGCACTGTGATTCAAAGGTTGCAAACTATTGCGCAAAAATCTATAAACATTTTGCCAATCATACTTCTTTTAAACGAACGCTAATGGTCATGAAATGTACATGTCTAGGACTACAAAAAATATACATGACACGGTGGACTAGGGTAAATTTGAATTCGAACCAGACTGGCCTTATAGTGACGCGCGGCAAGTGATGCCCCACCCTATCCTATGTCGGACCGGTTTGAACTTTGATGGCGCAGCCAGACTTTTTACAGTGCCCGGCCTATCCTGGGCCTATTTAACCTACCAGCTTAGTTTACTGTAATAAGTAAGTGAGGCATATGGCAATACTTTAAACTCGACCCTGTCTTAAAAAATTGATGCAATTTTTCTTTAAATTCTGGGTATAATTTGAAGGCCCAAGTATGAGAAACGCCAATTTATTTGATTGCATCTTTAAACTTTAAATATGTTTAATATTCAAAGATTTGAAAATTCAAGCTTTGTATCAAAAAATAAACTCATAATCAAGTATAAAGATTAGGAAATTTTAATCGAAAATTCAAAATTTGTCGAAAATTTCAAACACCTAACTTTAAAAGTTTAGGGTCTGAGAAGGTTTTAAAAAAATCGTTTAAAAATTCATCGAAAAAGTGTAAAACTTTTTACAATAACAAATATAGGACAAATAATCTATATAGGCATATGTTCTTTATGACCTTAGATGATCTTTAGCTAAAAAAGTAAAAAACTTATGGACTATTTAAAAAAAAAATTTAAAACACCTTTCCACCTAAAATGCCAGAATTTTAGCGTACTCTGCCCTACCCTTCGCGTGACAGTTTTTTCCCCCAAAGTTCTTAATTATAAAGTTGAAGAAGTGTAAAAGTTTAAGCGTTTTTTAAGAAAAATACCAGATAAGGGACAAGGGGTTTGAATCTCGCCCCCCCCCCCCTAACTGGGATAGGGTTAAAATGTACATAAAAGAAAATCAGCAAAAAAAAACAGAAAAAGAGGCAAGGAGTTCTTAAAAGTAAAAATAAAACTTACTTCGTCAGTACATTCTGAAGTCAGTGGCCCGTTTCCAAAACAGAATAATTCTCCTAAAACAAAACAACATTTCTACAAAAAAATGTTGTCAAATTTTGTTAAAACATTGGGATTGTGGACTTATTAAGATTTGCACAAAATGCGAAATACTTCGTTTTTTTCGTAGATCTGAAAGAGAAGAACAGAAAACACATGTATGATCAGATAAAAAGATAACTAATAGGAGAAAAAAATTCACTGCTCTTTTTGAATTTTGTTAAAAAAAATTTTAATTTAAAAATAAATTGCTGAAAAAATTATAGATTTTCTACCTGTCTTATCCCCTGCTTTAGTATACAGGCATCCATTAAAACAATCTGATGGTAGAGTAGAAGGATTAAGCGTAGAATAGTAGATGTAAATATCACCATCAGACGCTTTCTANCAGACGCTTTCTATACATTAAAACAATCTGATGGTAGAGTAGAAGGATGAAGAGTAGAATAGTAGATGTAAATATCACCATCAGACGCTTTCTATACATTAAAAGAACTGATACTCGCCACTAACTGCACTTTCAATATATTTGAAGCCTTTGGTGCATATATACCTTTGATATTTCCAACTTTGAGTATATTTTATCTACCAAATAAATAGTTTGAAATATCGAAGGTCTTTCTCTACATCAGGTATCATTATTATTATTATTACTAGCCTTTTAGGGCGCTTCTCGCCAATCTTCTATTTTAATTGTGAACTTGTTCTCTTTGTGTAAAACAAAACAAAGAAAGTTCGCGGATTTTAACAAAAAAAATTCGTAGATTTTAAAAAATTTTCAAAAGTTTAATGAAGATCGAATTTTGATGGAGACAAATATTTGAAATTTTGATCATTCATAAATCTTCCCTGGGGCCACGTAAGGTCCCACACTAAATTTAGACCTGATCGGTTCAGCCGTATGGACGTTTATTGGATACAAACAAACAGACAGACAAGCTAAATTTATATATAGATTATTATTATTATTATCATTATTATCATCATTATTATTGATATTATTATTACCCTATTTTGGCAACATTCTCCTGTAGTTCTAGCAATACAAAATAAAATAATAAAAAGTAATTTCATCTTTATGTCTCTTCAGAGGTTGACTAAGTCCAAGTATTATTGATAAACTAAAACAAAAACGCTGAGTAGACACGCATAAACATGAACATAACTTTATCATCAAATTTTTTAAGCTGCGTGTTAAACAAAAAAATGGTGTTCACATTGAGTTCCCACTGTACGTACTACGTAAACTAGTATTCACCCTTGTTTTACTTAATTTTGAGCAAGGTAAATATCTTATTCGAACAAGATCCGACTGATCTAAAGAATACTTTTGTGCGTGAGACATGCCAAACTACGTATACATTCCCTTTAAAGTTTATATTGTGGTGAATGGTGATATAGTTTGATATAAAAGAAAATTGATGACATTTGGTTTTTTTTTTCAAATACTGCCTTGGTTTTTTGAAAGTGTTTTTGATCATCTTTATTTACAGCTTGGTCAAAGGAGCAAACTACTCTTTAAACATTTTATGATTAATAAATTGATCTTACGTATACGAGTTGAGGATTAAAGCTGGGTTGACTCATGCATCAGCATTTGTAGGGAAATTAATACGCTTTTTATTGGTCAATTCAAAGCCTTAAATGTGGGGAGGGATGAAATATATAAAGAGGAGGGGAGGTATGTATGGAATAAAGAGAGGAGGGATAGGGTGAGTATATGGGGAGGTATGGAATAAAGAGGGGAGGGATGGAGAGGATAGGATAGGGTGAGTATATGGGGAGGTATGTATGGAATAAAGTGGGGAGGGATGGAGAGGATAGGATGAGTATATGGGGAGGTATGGAATAAAGAGGGGAGGGATGGAGAGGATAGGATAGGGTGAGTATATGGGGAGATATGTATGGAATAAAGAGGGGAGGGATGGAGAGGATAGGGTGAGTATATGGGGAGGTATGGAATAAAGAGGGGAGGGATGGAGAGGATAGGATAGGGTGAGTATATGGGGAGGTATGTATGGA